GATATTTCAAGCAAATGACTTGTTCACAAGACCAGCCATCTGCTATCGTAGAAATGAAGAAAAGGAGGTTTTCTGGTTTTCTACTTTTCTCTGTAAGCCACTGATCACATGATAAATAATGGTTTTTGTTGTTGTTGTTGTTGTTGTTATTTTTTTGTGTGTGCAGCTCATCACTGCATTTTTGTGCTATCAAAATAAAGTAATTTAAGTGATTGAAAGATAGGATACAGTTGATGCATATCTGGAGTGTCTAAAAATCAGGTAGCTTCTTGAGTTGAAACCAGATTGGAATTTTACAGGGAAAGGAGAAGAGACGGGCATGTGTCCTTATGGTTTGACTCAGGTTAAAAGTTTTTGTCTTTAATTCTTACAAAATTTTCAGCTGAAGTTTAGTCTCATTTTTATGCCTCTTGCTTGGAATTTTTAGTGCAATCCCATCTTAGTAACTGTAAGGAGAGTACTTTCTGAGGACTGTTTTTATAAGGCTTATGGTTGTTCACTTGGTCAAGGTTCACAATGTGGAGTTAGATGAGGATCAAAGGCCAGAAGGGAACACAGGACCCTCTATGATGTTTGTTTTAATCAATGTATAGTACTAGCGGACTTTTAACTTGTATCTGTGAAAGAATGTCTACTACCTTTTGGATTATAATACATAGGTCCTGTTAAACAACAATAAACAACATGAGATGATTCATAATGCAGTAAGATGAAAAGTTTCATCTTGGTCAATGGAATTCTCTGAAGAGAAATTATCAGCATTTCTTGAGAAAATATACTTTGTTTAGTCTATGAAAGTGGAGTGTAAGACCCCAAATACGTGCTCAAGAAAAAAATACTATTGCTAAACTGTTGTGCAGTAGACATAGAAGTGAACTTTTAGGCTCTTGAGAAGGGGCAAAAGGAAATAAGGATAGCAGAATGAAAAGAAGGTCAGAGAGAGGGAAACATCTAGGCTGGGGTCTGAGTAAGAGAAGGGCCAATATAATTCATGATGGCAGAATGTTGAGGAAGGAAATTTTACATACAGAAATACTGATATTAATTTTTAGGTTGTTTACTGTAGAGTAGAGGATGTAAGTGCCCTCCTCTGAGTCTTTTATGGAATCATCAGTAAACTACTCATTAATTTTACTTAAGCATGAGTATATCCTTTCAGGAACACTCAAAGAAGTATTAAATTCTAAGTCAAAGTCAACACAAATGTAGTGCAAGCAGCTATAGGAATATGAGAATAAGAAGTTATCTGACATCCAGGGCACAATATATTTTTAATCTGGGTATTTTTGGTTAGAAAGATAGCACATAGGGCCAACAAAAACAAATTCATTCTGAGAGTTTTAATGTAGACTCCCTTTTCTAGTTATTGGCTCCTTTTTTATTGTATGCTTTATGACTTTAAATACACATCTTGAATTTCTTTCTCTCTCTTTCACATACACAACTTGGTGCCAATCAGAGAAGAATGAAGGACCACAAATATGAAACATTCATTCATTCATTCAAAAATAAGTACAGTACTCAGTAAACAATTTGCTTACCCATCCCTGATTCTCTTAAAGCAGAAGCCATCTGACACCTCTGCTCCCACGATACGCATGTCTTGGATTGAAATATTTACCTTAGTATTTTATAATAGTTTGTTTCCAATTCTACCTCTTCTGTTAGATTATGAGCTTCTCAACTATTATTTATAGTTTCATTTACAATATATCATTCCTAATGTTTGACACTGAGTTCTATTGTATTTCTATATTTCCTCTAATTTGTCAGAATATTGTTATGCTACTTTCCTCCCTCAACATTGTCCTTTTCTTTGACTTTGCCCATTATTTTGTCTCATCTCCATGGACAGTGCTCTCTCTCTTACCCCTACCTCTTCTTCTCTTAACTGTAAGCTCCTTGAGAACAGAGTTGTGCATTCTCACTGACCTTGGCATCCCCAGCACCTAGTCAGAATAACTGCATTGCAGAACTAAGCTGTTGTTCAGTGGACACTCTTGTGGCCATCGGCAGGAGTTTAGTACTTCGAACATAGTACATGATACATAATAAATGCCTTAAAAAAAAACATAAGTTGAATGGATGGGTAAGTAAATGTTCTCTATTCCTAACCATTTAGGAATCTTGATGCCTATAATTTACCAGACTCTCTGTGAAATTGATACATTTTATTTGTTCTTTTTTTTTTGACATCTGCCTTATATTTTTTATGTGTATAATTGTGTGTATCTGTAGGTGTCTGTGTGAGAGACTATATTTGTATCTTTTCTTTTCTCTTTCCCACCCTCATCTCACATTATAAGTTCTTTTATGAGAGGAGCAATGTCTTAGTTATTTAATTTTTAACACACTGGTATATTACATGTAAACACTAATAATTTTCAATTAAATTATAACTAGAAGCATGAATTTTAAATAGCAACTTAAAACTAGTTTAAAGTGGATTATTGTACTTTCAGTAAGGTTAGAACATCTTTGATTGTAGATACAATGTTTTACCCTTGTCCATGTCCTGAAGACTTTGTACCATCTTGGGCATAAAACAGCATATTCAGAAATGCCTTATGAATCATTAATTTTCATTTCCCAAGTGTATAAATTATTTTTGAGTAGTGGTTTTAACACTGGAGGTTTTGACTTATTTGGCATCTGGATGTGTCTGACAGATGATTTAAAGAGTCTTATAATTATAAAATATGATCGTTTATTGAGACAGATGTACATATGGTGCACCTTTTGAAATTAAATAAAGTGCCTGAGTCTAACATCTGTGTGGAAAACATCCATCACAGCAGGTCTTCCAGAAGCTATCTGATACTTTCCTTGCTTCCACTAAAAATAGTCTTTCATCATGCCTGTTCTATAAAATTTACTATTTTCTTTCAGGTACATGCCTTTATGAATTTGGTTTTATTTCTCAATCCTAACTGTCCTTCGTAATCATGAGTTTATTAGGTTAAATTTATATATTGTGTGAGGATGTAGACTAAGATGCTACTATAAAGGAGTCCAAGATACAAACTTGAAGCGTAAGTTTATTCCTTTCTAATGTAACAATCCAGAAGTGAACGGTCTAGGATGGCTGGGGTGTCTGTGCCTTCCTAGTTCATTTAGGGACCTGGTTTCACTCATTCTATTGCTCCATTATCCTCTAGGATGTTCTCGTCTACTTTGTCAAATCTAGGTCACCATGTCCACCATCTAACTGCAATAACTAAGAAGAGGAAATCTAAGGCAAACATCTTTGTTTTTAAGGAGAAAATCCAGAAGGTACTCACATAACTTCTCACATCCTATTCCCCAAACTTAGACACAATGTCCTGCTTAGCTACAAGAAAAACTGGGAAGCATAGTCTGTAAGGTGGGTGAAGAGATGGCCAGTGAAAATCCCAAAGAGTCTGTCTTTTAAAAGAAAAATTAGGCAACAAATACTGGTGAACTGTCTGACTCAGTCAACTCCTCTGATCACTCCATGAGTACCTTCTCCCCACGTGTTAGCATACCCTTTCTTTTTCAAAATCAGCTAGGCAATGTTCCTTTATCCTGTCCAGATAAAAATTGGGGCTGTTTGAGTGTTGCACTTTCCTCTCTGACAAGTTTGAACTTGGACCTTTGCAATCTGATAACCCATACACTAGTATACAAATTCTGCATGTCCCTGACACCTAATATGCAATGGGAAGCTGGAACATAAGAATCACCATGATAAACTCCTGTTAATAAAAATAGGCAGAATAGGAGCAGACAATCATTATAGAAATGACAAAAATCTGGTATGCAATGACTTTAAGGACCTTGTTCTTACACTGGACTAAATTCTTCAGCTGGGCTCTTGCCTTGATCTATGAGAGGAACTCTGTGATCCATTGTCCTTTAAGTCACATGGCTCTTCCCTTTTGGGTTGGAGTAAGCTTTTATTCTTTCTGTTACTTTTCTCGGCCACAACTAAAGTATGCATTGAGAATATGCCCTCCATAAGCACTGCTTCAGAGACAATCAGGCTCTTGTTGGTCAGATTTGGGGTTTCTTTGCAATGAGGTCTCCTTTTTCAAATCTCATTAAGATTCCAGGCTACTTGTGTCTAATAAAATTTACATAAAAATCACCACACTAAAAGATTCCTTTATTCATAGTTTTTAAGCCTGTGAGATTTTCTGTTACATGCTGTTTCTGTGCTTGAGCCCTCCCTCTTGCCTTCAATATAATATTGCTAGTTCAAGGTTGTGATGGTTAATACTGAGTGTCAACTTGGTTGGACTGAAGATACAAAGCATTGATACTGGGTGTGTTTGCAAAGGTGTTGTCAAAATAGATTAAGATTTGAGTCAGTGGGTGGAGGAAGGCAGATCTACCCTTAATCTGGTGGGCACAATCTAATCAGCCACCAAAGAATATAAAGCAGGCAGATAAATGTGAAAAGGAGTGACTGGCCTAGCCTCCCAGCCTACATCTTTCTACTGTGCTGTGCTGGATGCTTCCTGCCCTCGAACATCAGACTCTAAGTTCTTCAGTTCTGGGACTCGGACTGGCTCTCCTTACTCCTCAGCTTGGAGACAGTCTATTGTGGGATCCTGTGATCTTGTAAGTTAATACTTAATAAACTCCATTGGAAATATATATATTTGTCCTTCTAGAGAACCCTGACTAATGCAAAGGTCATCTAAAAATACAGGCTTTAACTAGGAAGTTAATCTGAACTTCAAACCTAGGTTGCTCCTATTATTTGACTAAAAATTCTTACTGGGAGGATTTTAAGAAAGGCTCTGAAGGATAGGCTTAGCTTCTGCTATTTCAAGCACAAAAGCAGTTGATTTTTCTAGTCCTGCGAAGCCACACATCTTTCAGTCAAAGTAGATGAAATGCTGCAGACAGAAAAGGTGTCCATAAAGAAAGCCCTGTTTCCTTCAATCACTTCTTGCAAGCTGGCCTGTTATACATGAACTCTTTTTTATCCTGAAGGACTTTTCTAAAAATAGCAGGGAGCCATAAACACTCACCAGTATCCTGAGTTTTCCAATCAGTTTTCTAGAGCAGTAAGATCAGCGTGGATGTTGCTGGAGTTCCAATTTCTCACAGGTTGCATTTCTTTCCCTATTGGTTTTGTGGAATAAATAGGTTATTAGCTTCTCACAATTTAATATCTGTTTCTTCCTCTTCATCCACCTAATTGTTTAGCCAATGACAAATATTTTGAGTATTTATTATTGTGGTATCTCACATCTCTGATCAAATTTACATATTAGGTAGGATATAAGATAAATCTTTATAACAAATGAACCAAAAATAATTATTTTACATGAAATTGAAGGCTGTTTCCTCATATTTTCACAAAAGGAGAGAGATCAAGACCAGTGGAATAGGTCTACTTCAGAGAGTCATTCATACATCCATGTTTAGGATAGGATAATATTCTGCTTGATGTTCCATCATTACGTAGGGTATGATCCTCTTCCTCATGGATTGGAAGCAGAAGAAAGGAAGTTCAGAATAACTGGCTTCATCTTCAAGGCAGTGACATTATACTTGCATGTGTCTTTTGAGATTACATCCTATTTGACCTGAACTTAATCCCTTGGCCACACATGTCTGCTAGGAAGGATGAAAAGTCAAATCTGTAGTTTAGTTGTGTATCCTAATTCTATGTAAGCTAAAATAAGGTGTTTTTTTAAAAAACAAAACAAAAAAAACAAAGAAGAAAGAAGGAAAGATTGAATTTGTGAGGACAGCTAGCGACATAAAAGATTAATTTACAAAGAACGTTTAATTGTTTTCAGTTTCAAAACAGTTTGTCACCTACAACTAAGGATCGATTTTATTCTGTGTTTCAAAATTGAAGCATTAATAACAATTATCTCTTGGTGTTTACTAAGTGTAGGACATAGAAAATTTTTCCATTCTCTTGGAATGTCATCATCAACATAATCGAGTAGAGGAGTCTTAAAATTTGGAGGACATGGCTCCATCATGGCAATAAACAAACACTTGTTTTTTTTCCTGGTAATTTTTAAAATTATTCAAGTTGAAAGTAATGCAATATCTGTTAACTGATTTTGATTTTTTTTTCCTTAAGCAATTTATTTGGGTCACTGTATTTTTTATAGTACTCTTTAATATATTCTCGACAGAATTCTTAATTGACTGCAAAAATGATTAACAGTAGGCTCCCCTGCTGTTCAACTCAGTCATTCATGACTTCACCAGATGGTTTGTTTTTTTGGGCCAATGGTTTTTCTTTTCTGTTTTTTTTTTTTTTTTTTCATATTGTTTCCCCTCCCCTGGATACAGTCAAGAGCTAAAATACGATGCTTAGTTTTAATTTTATGACTAAAATATAAAATATCATGCAGGTAAATAATTTATTTTCTTTATACTTAAAACCAATGGCTGGAGTGTTTGCTATTGTGGGCAAGGTAATTTGAAAGTATACTTGTTTTCTTCAATTACTTTCTTCACATCGTCCCTTGTCATTGTTCTCTAGTAATTCAAGTGCCATTAGTTTTTGCCACTTTTTGCAATCTTCCCTTTGGTTACCCTATTACTTTTATGGATTCGCTTTATTTAACACTTTTGTTTAATATGTTATTCAAAGTCCTGCTGAGGAAAACTCATTAGCTGTTACTCACCTAATTATTTTTAGCCTGTGTAAATAGTACATAGATTAAGATGCAATTAAACAAAGAAAAGCAGAGATATATAAATGCCTGAAAGATTTTCTTGTTTTAATCAAGCTATGTCAATCTATCTGAATAAGTATTTATGAAATTTTAACTCTTTCGTTGGTCATGTAACATTTTCAGAGGCAATGTTTCTTAGTAAAAATAATATTTATAATAATTTTCTGGGCCGGGCGCGGTGGCTCAAGCCTGTAATCCCAGCACTTTGGGAGGCCGAGACGGGCGGATCACGAGGTCAGGAGATCGAGACCATCCTGGCTAACACGGTGAAACCCCGTCTCTACTAAAAATACGAAAAAAAAACTAGCCGGGCGAGGTGGCGGGCGCCTGTAGTCCCAGCTACTCGGGAGGCTGAGGCAGGAGAATGGCGGGAACCCGGGAGGCGGAGCTTGCAGTGAGCTGAAATCCGGCCACTGCACTCCAGCCTGGGTGACAGAGCGAGACTCCGTCTCAAAAAAAAAAAAAAAAAAAAAAATTTCTGTATAAATGACTGGCTTCTAAAACTGGTAAAACTTTCAAAGATCTTCCACTATATTAGCTTACAAAAGTAATTAACCTCAAATCATTTGCTCTACATTTTTTTTTAATATTACTGACTCCTAAAAGGTGAGGTTTGGCTATGTATTTAAATTTTTTTAATATTAAAAACAATTTTGAAACGTGTTAAAGAATATTTCTAATTATTTGTTTTTTAAATTAAAAATGTAGCAATTTAGCTTCAGAAGTGATGAAATCACTCAGTTAACAGTCATTTTACAGATGGAGAATCTGAGATTTACATAATTTAGATAACTTGTCCAGGCTTAAACTTTCAGCTGGGGGGAAGTCCAGAAAATTTCATAGTCCCTGCTCATCCAGTACCCATCCAGTGTTATTTATTTGTAAGGCTACCATAATACAGCATTACTACACATACCACAGACTGGGTAGCTTAATCAATAGCAATTTATTTTCTCACAATTCTGGAAGGTAAAAGTCTGAGACCAAAGGCACAGCAATATTATTTCTTTATAGCCCTCTTTCTTTTGCTTGTAGATGGCCACCTTCTCCTTGTGTCCTCACATGGTCTTCCCTCTGTACCTGCTTCTGTGGTTTAATCTCTTCTTAGAAGGACATCAGTAATATTGGATTGGAATCTATGCCCAATGAGCTCATTTAAGCTTAATTACCTCTTTAAAGACACCATCTTCAAATGCAGTCACATTTTGAGGTACATATTTTGGCATTAGGACTTCCACATATAAATTTGGGAATAGGGTAGACACAATTCAGCCAGTAATAGGGACATTGATCTGTCTTTGGGCCCGGAGCTCTCCAGAGGAAGAAAATATCTGGTGGTCAGCATAAATGCTTTCCAGCCTTTCTGGTGCGTTGGAAACCAGAAAAGTGAAAAGTAAGCATTCTCTAAATCAGTTTTTAATTTTATACAATGACCCTGAATTTACCCCAAATGTTTGCAGAAAACAGTTACAGGAATTCAAAAGAAATAACAATAACTTTGAATGAAAAACTAACATTTTCATGAAGCAAACCAGTATTTAAAAAGGGAATTCTATGCAGAGATCACGTTAACCATCTTGGCCAAAACATGAACAGTGTCCAGCATAGAGTAAGCCCTCAATAAATATTTGCTCACTGACTATGTCATTGGATCAATGAAGATATGAAGATCTTCACAACTATTTATGCTCCTAAAACTCTGCTACATAGTAAGTTTGTGGTAGAGTGCTTCTATCCTGCCTCCTACCCAATAAATGAATAGCCCCAATGGGCATTTACATGAGATCTAAGTGTACTGAATCTCAGTACTGTCTCAGAATGCTCAGTTTTAAGTATAGCACCCTTCATTTTTCCCGTTTTAATCTACAATGGTTACAAAATGCATCTCACAATACAATGTCAATAGATAGCCATGTCACCATAGAGCTCCAATTACTCTGCGCTAATTTAAAGCTTACTCATTAATTTCAAAATCAAAAGGTTTTGTAACTTTTGAGTTCCTCAAAATTGTCACTATTGACATTGCAACTGGATAATTCTTTGTTGTGAGGCACTGACTGGGTATTGTAAGATGTTTGGCCGCTTTCCTGGACTTTACCCTCTAAAAGTCAGTGGTACCCCTCCAATCATAACAAGCAAAAATGTTTCCAGAAATGGCCAAATTTCTTCTTATGGGCAAAATCACTCTTGGTTGAGAACCATTGCTTTATGTCGAATATCTAGACCATGCTTTTTATGTAAATTTATAATTATTAAATTATCATTAAGTTAGATTATTGGAAAGTCACCTAAGTGTGCATCTGCATAAAATAATCACTTTTCCTGTCCTTATGTAAACCAGCTTTGCTGACACAAATGTTTCACTTTCTTTTTTTCTGACACTTTTTTATTCACTGAAAAATAGTCTAATTATAGTCTTCTTCTCTCAGAGTCATAGTTCTAATTATTAGTCACATTGACCTTTCTGTTAAATAAAAAGAAACAAACTTTACATCATAAACCATAAAAGCAATGACATTAAATGCTAGCTGCAAAGAAGTACATTAATTATGTACTCCTAAATTAGAATGAAATATCTTTCCAAGTCCTATATTTGAATATGTTTGAGAGAGTCTCTTTAGAAGATTTCTTTATTTTTAACGGAGCAGACAGCAGGCGTTCATGACCACAAAGTTCTCTTTGTGAAAAAATTAAATAAACCTTTATTTATTGATTAATGAAAAGACTTTTGTGGAGTTAGCAGGCAACCTCAAATGCTTTCTGACTTGTTAAATCTGTAAAAGTCAAATTAGAGATCATTTTGTGCAGTGTGGTAGACAATGAAGACAATTTTCTGCAAACACTCATCAAGACTGAGTTCTGTTAGAGAACATGTGAATTGAAGAGGCTGCAACTCAGCCAGAGTCTCTGTAGTTTCCTATTTAAATATTTTTGATGTGTCATATCCAATTTCAGTATTTCCTTCATATAAAAGCTGTGATGTAGGCTCTGTTCCTTTTCTTTGCTGGCTTTACAGCCAAATAGTGTCTGTATAGTAAAATAACTATTACCTTATTTTAAAATCAATTTTCAGAAACTTCCCTAGACTCCTTCTAGGAATTGTCTCTGACTAAATGTGAGTAATGTGCACCCTGGCCCTTCTAGAGTTACAATGCATTCCTTATTTAATAGATTTCATTGTTAAAATATATACATTTTCATTTAGTTGTTTTCAGTATGAACTTTTAAGATTTGAGTTTAAAATACTACTGACTGAAAAAATAAATTTTTATTTAAGAAACATATGCTAATTAAGAGATCTAGAGGGAAATTTGACTATGAAAATACAGCAAGATAAAGACTTTGAGTTTAAAGTCTGGAAGGCTTGTGAAAGACATGCTAATGAACCAATTCTCACAGCGTTCCAGTGTTGATGTAGTTTGAAAGAGCATAGAACACATGGTGGTTCCAAACAGAGTCATTATTTACTGTAGATGAAATTAATTCAGGTCATTGGTTCCCAGTGTTTTCAAGAGCAAGGCATCACTTTTGGTTTTCTGGTTTCTTTTTTTGAGACAGAGTCTCACTCTGTCACTCAGGCTGGAGTGCAGTGGCACGATCCTGGCTCACCTCAACCTCCTGCTCCTGGGCTCAAGTGATTCTCCTAGTTCAGCCTAGCTGGGATTACACCATGCCTGGCTAATTTTTTATAGTTTTAGAAGAGATGGGGTTTCACCATGTTGGCCAGCCTGGTCTTGAACTCCTGACCTCAAGTGATCCACCCATTTTGGCCTCCCAAAGTGCTGAGATTACAGGCATGAGCCACTGCGCCCGGCCAAGGCATCTTGAGGTAATGATAAAATATATTCATTGTCTCATTTCATTTATTCATATATTCAGCAATGCATATTTATTGAGTAACTATAATAAGTAAGTCCTTTAGTAGGCTTGGGAATATAGTAAACAAAAAAAGTCCCTGACCACGTGGAGTTTACAAAAGAAAAAGTGAATAAACAAAAATAGATCATAAAAACATATTATGCAATAAAAACATTTTATGCAATATGGCAATCAGTGCTATGTAAAAAGTAAAGTAAGATAAGAGAGACAGGGAGTTCTTGGGTGTGTGGTGGTTAAGGAAGGCAACTCTTAGGTCTGTTTCCTAGAAGTGCAGCCTGGGATGGAGATTCATATTCAAAAGATGTATTAGAGGAAAAGGATTATGAGCACAAGGGAAATGAGGCAAACAGGAGAGAGCTGGGTGAAAGATCAACAAGAATGTGGGCTTGGCTGGAGACTTTCAGGTAAACCACAGGAAATTCTGGAGCAGCAATGGTACTGCAGAATCCGCCCCTTCTTGAGGTAGTCTGTGTCATTTGGTTGCTTGCTGAGGTGGTGTGGCATGATCTAGAGGGAAGGCCCCTTCTTTTGGCTGAGATCAATGGTCTGGATAAATGAGGGTCAGGGGTAAGTTTTTGTTCAGTCAACACCAACAGCAGCTGAGGATGGTGCTGCAGTCTGTCAAAGGGGTCTGGATGGGATTCCAACAGTATTTTCTTGTATGTCAGAGAAGGTAATGAGAATGTGAGGGAGAAAGATAGCTAACTATCTTTGAGAAGAACATTCTAGAGAGAACAGTGACTGCAAGAGACTGAAACTTGCTTAGCTTGAGGAACTGCATTATGTCCAATATGACCAGAATCATGTGAACAAGAGAGAGAACAGAAAGAGATGAGGAATGCAGGAACAAGTAGAAATCATGTGGGAACTTGTGGGTTATAAAATGAGATGGGAAGTCAGTTGAGTCTTCTGAGTAGAATGCATGATTTGGATGTATTTTTAATGTATTTACTTTGGCTGCCCTGGGAAGAATAGACTATAAGAAACACAAATATAAACAGCAAAATCAATACTTGCCGTTTATGTACCATTTTGGTTGAACAACTGCATGCTATCAAAAAGCTATAGTGAATTTATTAATGCTTTAACATGGTCTTCCATGTGACAATTACAATTATATTCATATATATTTTGTGAGTACTGTGCATAGGCAGGGGTTATATTCAAAATATTCAGTGGACTGAATAAAGAAAATGTGATACATATACACCATGAAATAGTATGCAGCCATAAAAAAGAATGAAATCATTTCCTTGGCAGCAACATGGATGGAGCTAGAGGCCATTATACTTAGCAAAGTAATGCAGAAACAGAGAAGCAAATACAGGACGTTCACACTTATAAGTGGAAGCTAAATGTTGGGTAGTCATGGACATAAACATGGCAATAACAGACACTGGGGCCTACTTGAGGGTACAGGGTGGGAGGAGGGTAAGGATTGAAAAACTACGAATCAGGTACTATGTTGATTACCTGGGTAACATAATTCTCTATACATCAAACCCCTGTGACACACAATTTACTTACATAACAAATGTGCACAATTACCCTCTGAACCTAAAATAAAAGTTGGAAAGAGAAAAAAAAAAAAAGAAAATATTTACCAAACAGTATTCCAGTAAGTCATTATGGAAGCTGATCCTTAGCCTCAAAAGTAGACAAGATACAGTATTTATTGTAAGCCGCTTGTGATATAACCCTTTTCCTTCTTAACTGTTCAAGCTTCAATACAAGATGATAATTTTTGGTCTATTCTGAGAAAAAGAAAGAAACTCACTTGGACCAAATGGGGTGGTATTCTATGATGAAATGTAGAACTTGTTAAGAAAAATACCAGATATAGGATAGATAGGAAGGTCTTAATTTGTAAAACAAAGGATTTCATAAGCCAGCAGGTAGGGGTCTATAAGCTGAAACCTGAAAGTTGAGCTTAAGGGCATTTCTCTCCTAGATATCTTTATTAAACATTGTACTTCTCCTATAGACTGAATCACTTTTTGATGTTATTCCGTGTACCTTGTAGATTTCATTCTCTCTAAAGCAAGCACCAATTCTCTTTTATTTATTGTATATTCAGAGTCTACCACAGAGTCTGGCACTGTATAGATGTATAAGTTTGAACACCCAAGTGCTGTAACAACAGGATACTGAATTTGATGATGGGACTCGCTATGTGAAAAGTGGTTATGGTTCAAAGACAAAAAGATGCATTCTGGGTCAAATCAGGAAAGGAACTTCCTTCTCTCTAAAATAGCAGCAGCTTTGCCTAAGATTGGTGAGTCAAATCAAGTAAGCCTCATTAGAAATATACTAATTTCAAGAGTTACATGGGTAGCCCCTTGCCACTGGACTTTTATATGAAAGTGAAATTAACTTCTGTCATTATATTTTTAGATCTTTTTGTAATATAGCTTAGATTATTCCCTAACAAAGGTATCAACCATAAACTGATGTTCTGTAAAACTGTCTTGAATTCTAACATTTACTTGCATCCCAGACATGTATCCAATTGCTTATTCAACATTGTTACTTGAATGTCTGCTAATAAGAACTATTGATTAACTCAGTTCCTTGAATGCATTCTTCTTTGTTTTTTCCATTTTGGTATATAGCACCATCCTTCACTCAATTGGTCATGGGAGAAAATGTGTAATTTCTTATTTATTTCATTTACTCACTTCCAATTTATCAATGAGCGATGTTGAGCTAGCATACAAAATATATTCCCAGCATGACTTTTCTTGCCAATCCTACCTCTGAATCCTAATTCAAGCTATCCTTCTTGTGTGCCCAGGTCTTCATCTAACTGGTCTGCCTTTTTCCACTCTTGTCTTAGAGTCTATTCTCCACAAAATTGCCAGCATAATCTTTTAAAAGTGAAGTTTCATTTGTATCAGTTGTCCTCTAAAAGCTGTTACAATTCTTCTGTCATTATACTTAGAACAAAATCTTAATCATAGCTTTATACTTTTTTTTGATATTTTGTTGATTTCACCTTCAGCTACTTTCTCCATTGCTGATTTCATTCTGGTGACAATGCCCTTCCTTTCTACCTAAGAAATCCAATCTTGTTTCTGCCATGAAGGCTTTGGACTTAGAAATGCACTGAGTATTTAACCAGGGCTTTATTTGATAGAATTTAGCCACGCAGTTTGAAATCTTGATCATCATCCTCTCAACTTCTCCACACTCCATTACCAAAGTCTTTGTCAAAATGCCAAATGTGTTGGTAAAAAATTGTGTTTGTAATTCTTGTTATAGTACAATTTCTCCTTAATCCTTAATTTCTTAGAATAAGTACATGAGTAAATGAGAGAATGAGTGAACAAAGTGAAGTACCTAATATGTGTTAAGCATTGTGCGTGGCAGTTTCAAAAATTGGAAACATTTCAAGCATTTGAACATTTTATGTGATTCCAGTGGCATTTTCTGTGAGAGTCGTCATGCTGTTTAAAATGTTTTCAAATATGGATCATGTTACAAAATTCATAATTTTATATGTCATATATAAAGAAAAAGAAACAAGGTTTATAATGTATTTTAAGCAATGTGTTACTGTATAATAATAACAACTATAATGGTAATTAATAAGTCTTTTGGAAAAGGTCCAAGAAGTATTTGATTTCTGATGCAACTTTGACTAAGATATTTAAGTTAGAAGTAAAAACATTCTTATTTTGCTATGTCACTTTAATTACAAAATTAAAAATCAATATTTTATAGAAAAAAAAAAGACTATACTTGCACTCCTCACTACCTTCAATCTTTTTCCTCCGTGGTGTTGCATTTCTCACTCTCTCATTTTAATCAGATTTCTACTTTGATAACCCCTTTTCCTGGTAGTCTTTCTTGTGCACCCTATATGCATTAGTGTGTGTGCACATGCGAGCGTGCACACACACACACACACACACATTTCATTGTTCTCCATTCTCTTTCCTTGCTTTATTTCTTCATACTATTAAGACATTTGGTAGGGTGTGTTGTGTATTTATTTGTTTAATGTCCTTTTCTTCTGATGAAAATAAAAGTTCTCTGAGCAAATGATTTTGATTCTCCTTTTTGGAGTCTTATCCTTAGAGCACAGACAAGTGCTTGATAGGTTTCAGGCTCTAAGCTGTTTGCAGGTGCCATGAGCTATTTCAGGCTGAAAACTTCATAGATTCTGTCAGTGCTCCAGCCTGGGGAACAGCAGCCTGGTTTACTCTCAGGGGTGGTCTCATCCTTTGAGATTCTTACTTCTTTTCAATGGCTGTACGTGTGTGTGTGTGAGCATATTGTCTGTGAGTGTGTGTGTGCGTGTGTAGGTGTGTATATTAGGTTTAGGGTGCTATTTCCTATAGATATATTTACAATCTATTCAGAAACATGTATCCTTACTTAATAGTCTCTAAAATATGCAAATTTCTTCCATGCTTCCAATCCTTAAATAATGCAAAACATTGGTAAAAGAAGAATCATACTTCACTGTGCATTTTAATACACAGTAGCTGTGTCTACTGCTCCATTTCAATCACTTAAAAGAAAGACTAAGGGAAGCTGAGTTAACAAATGTTTAAAGGATAGAGTTTATGGGGAACCACATTAAGCATGCTGTGTTACAGAAATTGCTAAGGCTAGTTTTCCTAACACTGTATCATTTACTTACGGTAATTGAGGATGGACAGGAATGAGGATAGACTGGAATGGGATAATGATAACATATATTGGTTCCAAGTGACTTGAGAGTTTCAAACAGAATTTTAGATTAGTTCAGTCTCTTTATTACTTCGAGAGGCATTTGGCATTCTTTTCAGTGAAAAGCCTAGAGAAGCAAATAAAATAGTTACAATAGAATATATAAAAATGTACACAATACCATCATCAAACATTTTTCTTTTTACATATTTTTTTACTGCTAGAGGGGCAGTATAATTAATAATATATTCTATTATACATTCTTGGGAAGTAGAGTACACATGGTTTTATTTAGGAAATATTTATAAATATCTTATTTGAAATGTGTAGATATTTTCTTTTCAATTCACTTACAACGATTAAGGTGGTGTTTTTAAAAATTACATTAATTGTATAAGGGATGCTAGAAATATTTTATAGCAAAGAATAATTATTATTTTCTTTAACAGAAATATACAATTATAGAAGAAATGCTTTGCCTTTGGAAACTCTGTTAGACAAAGGACAGAGAGAGCTTAATGGTGTCCTTTGTTGTTGTTTGTAATGTAATCTATTTTTATTTATTTATTTTGCAACAGCTTTGTTGGGATAAATTCACATACCATACAATTTATCCACTTAAAAACTGTATAATTCAATGATTCTTAGTATAGTCACAGAGATGCACAACTATGACCTCAATCAATTTTTTTTTTTTTTTTTTTTTGGTAGAGATGGGGTCTCACTCTGCTGTTGCTTAGCCCAGTCTTGAACTGGACTCAAGCAATCCCCTGGTCTCAGCCTTCTGAATAGCTGCGTTTACAGGCACAAGTCACCATATCCAGCACTCAATCAATTTTAAAACAACTTGATCCATCCCCAAAATAAAATCTTTAGTACTAACCTTTTAACAGTCAGTTGGGTTACTCCCAACTACCCTAGTCTTTCCTTAGCAACCAATAATCCACTTTCTGTCTCTGTAGCTTTGCCTTTGTAGACATTTATATACATGGAATCAAGCATTATGTGGGCTTTTATGACATCATTCTTTCACATAGCATGATGCTTTCAAGGTTTTTCCACATTGTACTATGAATCAGTGCTTTGTTTCTTTTTATTGCCAAATAATATTCCATTGTGTTGATGCCAAATAATATTCCATTGTCTATTTACCTGTTCAACATTTGATGGACATTTGGGTTCTTCCCATTTTTCAATTATTATGAAGAATTCTGCTATGAACATTCATGTATAATGTTTTGTGTGGACTATTTTCATTTATCTTCAGTATATAGCAAGGTTTGTGATTGTTGGGTCCTGTGGTAATTCTCTGTGATGCTAAGTATGTTGAGAACATTTTCATGTGCTTGTTGTTCTATTTTATTTCATTTTCACTTGTCTGCATTGCAATATGATTTTCTCTATTACTATTTTGATCTTTTGATCTTTTTGCAATCTTGAAAACCACATACCTAAATTTGTTAGAAGTGTGTATAAATCAAAATGAGTGTGTGCTCATATGTATGGCTATGTATGGTTTATTGCATAGATTAGGTCAGATATATATGACTTGCCTGTATACCATTTTCATTTGTTTTCTAGTTCTTAATTGTTTCCTGATATTATTTTAATGATTTGATTATAGATTTGACAAATTTAACAATAGTATATTTATGTAAACATAAAACAGCTTATCTTTGGATTTTATCTACCTATATATGTTTCTGATAACAAAACAGTAACTAAGAGGGAAGTAATTTTAAAATGATAAAGATAATCCTAAATATTAGAGAATTAGAATTATATTTATTTCAAAAGAGTTGGCTGAATCAACTTAATACTCCCTTTGAGTTATTTTAACTTGATTTTGACAATGAAATTTCACACTGAATGAAAAAATGATTCAAACTAATAGATTCACAAGGGCAGTAACTGCTGCTTTTCTATTTAATTACAGCCAATATCAGGAGCTTGAAGGAGGTATATTAATTTTTAACTAAGGATGCTTTTAATGACTCTATGTTGTCATTTTCCAAAGAGAATATGTGAGGTAGTTCAGGCTGTTAGAAACAAATATATTTCTCAAGTATATACATATTTGAGGTTTGATTTTTGCCATTTAAATGGATATGTTAACAAAGTTATAATGAGAGAATTTCATTAATCAGTTTTGATTCATTTAATTCACACCTTTAAAACATTTTCTGAGGGGTTCAATACAAGGACTATTTTCATATGTTAGTTTTTGTGTTAATTTTATTTGTTTAATCTTTTAGCAATGAGGGTCAACTCCTGTGTCTTCCACTATATTATGGGACATATGTCCCAGGCTTCAGAATTCTCTCAGACATCTCACTCATTAACCAAAAAGGGAAATACCACAAAGAAAATTTTACAGCAGAAACTGAAATTGTAATAAATTTCTCCCCCAACTCCCAGTGTAACTGACAAGTTTTGTGCCAGGGGTCCTTTAGCAACACGAAATTTGACTTGATTTCTTTCACTGCTGGCCTGCAGAGCCTGCCAAAACTGTGTACAGTTCTCAGACTCTTGATGACTAGCACAGCTGCAATCCTGTGTCATAGGCCCCCAAATCAAGAAATTAAAACTGTAGGCTTATGAAGGCTATCTCTAATGTTTCATTTATTCATACAGTATGGTGGCTGTTCTTGGTAAGAGGTTAAAAAATACACATAGTTTAGAGTGCACACTCTATATATCCAACCTGAACTTTTCTGCTACGTGATTTACCAAGATTAATTTGTTTCTCAGTTATTTCAAGTAAGAGACAATTTCTGCACAGCGACTATTTGCCATGACTGATACTCACTTACAGTTACTCCTCTTTGTATCGCTTTTCTTTTATCAGAGAATGGGGGAAGTGTACCCATGGGACTGAAACATCTTTGATTTTGTGAGGCTGATCATTGATGGGCAACAATTCTCCATGGGTTGCTTGAGTTTCTGCATGTCTTGTGAAGATGCCTTGAAGACTTTTGCTCTGAACTTTTTTTTTTTTTTGCAAGGAGATTGATATAACAAATAGTTTCAGAAGACAGAGATAGTGTCTCCTTCTGGAGCAGAAGGCTAAATTTTCCCCTAGCCAAGATAGTAAAGACAATATTTTTCTCTGGGTAAAAGATTGGGCAGATATGCTAGCAGACCATTTCAAAAATTAGGGTTTCTGAACCTTAGGGTTCTTTAGCAGTTACATGGACCTAGAGAATGTGTACACCCATTTGGACTACTCCTCATTATCCCCGTGAAACTTAGAGGGTGAAGGATCACAATGCAAACATGAAATCAATGCTGCCTGCTGTGCTGTGAATAGTAAAGTCCTATGCTTCTGATCCAGGAGTCTCATCTCTTATGCCAGCATCTAAATGACTGTGGCAAATGAATTTGTTAGCTTGCAAGTAGGATAAAATCTCCTGTCTTTCACAGTTCTTGAAAATCATGTGAACCTTGAGGCTTTGTGCTGTCCTTCTCCAAAGGGATTCTGTGGGAGAATTAAACCCTATTGCCCCAATGCACTTATTATATGTCATGAACTCTCTTTTCTCCTATGCTTGTGGTATGGTGGTATGTGAAACTGGAAAACTGAGAAAACAGCCAATCAAATAATCTCCTATTGAGTTAATTTTCTCGTGGAATCCAGTTTGAGAAGGTCATGTATTACCAAAGGTAAATGTTTAGCTTCACAGCTTCTCTGACACATTGGCACTATAAACATCCTTTGCAAGTATAAGATTAGGAATAGAACTTCAGATGGTAATAAGAAATATAAAAAATTCCCCCTTTGCGAAAGAGCATATATGTTATTTACTGTCAATATCAGTGGTCTGAGTAAGCAATTCTCATGAGATCTCGACTCCCTGACCGTTTGACTTTGGCAAATGCAATATGGAGAGACAATGCTTGGAGTTAGTTTAACTCCTACCTGACCTGGTGGGAGGGTGCCCAGGTGAGGAAACTGAGCAAACTGGCTTTTTGTTTGCAGACACAATTATAAGGACTCTTGGGGACCACCATGTGTCCTCGCCCTTTCCCCTGCCTGTTAAGGAAGAATAAACAACACCAGTATCACTGCAGAAGCTAAGGGAATTCAAAGCAGCCTCAAGAAGCTGAGAAACTGACATTTCTAAGCAGAAAAATAATCCTATATTCCCTGTGGTAGACAGTAATGTCTATAAAATGGACCTCTCCCACCATACCGTAAATCAAGTATTAGCTGCTAACTCACAGTTCGTTGTGGATTTGAAAAACGTTTCCTCACCCGAGTATGAGAAAAAAAGAAAAGCAACTAGGTATACACTTTTTTCACTTGCCTTTACATTACTTTGATAATATACAGTGAAGTTCTACTCACACAAAATAATTTCATCCTTAATGAGTTGGTTTGGACACCTTTGCAGAATCTGTAGTGTAAGTCTTTAGATTTACAAGTGACAAAGATGTTAGGCCTTTGAAGAAAAGGATGAGAGTATAGCTTATAAAGCAGAGAATTAATAACCTTTGGCTTCTCATGCTTTGCCTGAAAGCCATTTGCTCTTTTCTTCTGAAGATCCTAATAAGCAGAGAAAAGATGCCTCATGCAAAACCTGCTCTTTCAGCGTCTGTCCATTTTTATTCTTCTGGCTCTTTGCTTTGTTTCTCACTCTTTTTGCTGGAGCCTTTTCTGGTTTTCAAGATCCCCTTCAGGATGACCTGCTTCTTCTTGTCCAAGTCTTAGGCTTCCAGATTTCTAGGAAATCTATTTGCTCTCTGTATTTCTTTGCCAGCCTAAATCTTTGATATTCCTTAGTACAGACTATAGATACTGATTCATAAAATGTTTTGACTTTACTGTTTGCTTTTTGAATTTATTAGCATACCTCTTTCTTTGCCTTTGGCTACTGCCAATGGCTGGCCTAATGCTATTTAATCATTTTAGGAATTCTATGGCTTTTAAAATCTTACATGTTTTCCTACTTACACTTTTCAAAAAATAGCTTAAAATTGAAAACTGAAAATTAAGCTTGAGCTTTGGCAGCTCTTCTATAAAATTTCTAGATGCTTCCTTGCTAGATGAATTTTGATATACTATTGCAGTCATAAATCACGAGGTTTTAGTAAAATATACATACTTTTAAAAGAGGAAACATTATGTAATAGATATTACATATTCTGTGTTGTGATTCACTTTATTATTTAAATATAGAGAAGAAAAAATATCCCAAGGACTTCTTGAAAATATTTTAAGGATTCTTTTATATACTTGGTCTCCTGTTTTAGAGATGTTCAGAAGTTAAAATGATTTCTGACAATTCTATAAAGAGATTGAAAAATTTATTCAAAAATGAAAGTTTTAAGGTATTACAATAATTAATGAAACAGAGAAAGGATAGGAATATAAGACACGAATGATAATTTTTTAACATTTTTAAAATTTTAAGTTCCAAGATATTTGTGCAGGATGTGCAGGTTTGTTACCTAGGTAAACTTGAGCCATTGTTGTTTGCTGCATCTATCAACACATCACCTAGGTATTAAGTCTCACATGCTATTTATCCCAATGCACTCCCTCCCCCAACCCCGTGACAGGCCCCAGTGTATGATGTCCCCCTCCCTGTGTCCATGTGTTCTCATTGTTCAGCTCCCACTTATAAGTGAGAACATGTGGTATTTGGTTCTCTGTTCTTGTATTAGTTTGCTGAGGATGATGGCTTCCAGCTCCATCCATGTCCCTGCAAAGGACATGATTTCGTTCCTTTCTGTGGCTGCATAGTAGTGAATGATAATTTTTTAAAAGGCCTATGGAATGTCAAAGAGACATAAGGACTTTTGCAGATGTTATTTAATCATGCAGAGCCAATAATAGAACACATTTGGCTACAGTGAAAATATATTGACAGTTTGAAATTGTCCAGAATTTTACGTAGTTTACCAAAGCAGCCAAATCTTTGAAGGTGTCAATGACAACACAGGTAATATACATACAAAG